ACAACATCCCCAGGAGGCGCAGGACAGGCCGGGGCAGGAGCTCTGGCAAAATGAAAAGTGAGCCTTTTTATTGTGTTCTCGATTATCATCACTTCTGAACAACAACTCCACAAAATACCGAACACTGTGCGAGGAATCGGGCTACGGCACGACCGGGAACGGGACGCGGAGACGGGGACGATGCAGACGCTGCGAGGAGCCCACGGCACGGACACCCCTGCCCCCCTCCCCACAGCCCCCACACACCTGGGATTCGCGTTTGGCAACAAGATCAGAGTTTGGCAAATAATTTTTTTTTTTCCTTTTTTTTTGTTTTTGTTTGTTTTTTGGCAAACGCACTAACAAAGTACAAGCGGCTACTGTAATTTGCACTTATATTGCTGCCATACAAAAACACCTACAGTATGAGCACTGATTTACTCAGACGAGGAAAAAAAAATAAAATAATAATAACAATAATAATAAAAAAAAAAGAAAAGGTCGAGGATTTTTTTTTTCCACCTAAACGAGTCACCCACTGAGAGACACCAGCACCCGCCGGCAGGACACCCCCCTCCCCGGCACCGGGACCCCCCCAGCCCCGTCCCCAGGCTCCTGGGGGACCCCAAGAAGCTGCTCCTTCTCCCCTTCTCCCGGCTCCAGCCTCACGCTGAACCTCCAGCTGCCCCCCGGCCCCGCACCGGCCACCCTCCCGCCGGCACCGGGGACGAGAGTGGCCCACGGGGGTGGAAGGATGAGGGGGGGGGAGGCAGAATGACCCCCGTCTGCTGGAGCGTGGCGTGCCCGGCTGGCGTTTTTCCAGCAGAGCATCCCCTGGGATTCACTGGTGAAGCAGCCCGTCGTATTTGCCGGCAGAGCATCCCATGGCGTTTGCCAGCAGAGCATCCTGGGGGGTTTTCCAGCAGAGCATCCCATGACATTCACCGGCAGAGCATCCCACGGCGTTTGCCAGTGGAGCATCCCACGGCATTTTCCGGCAGAGCATCCCATCCTACATTCCAGTGGAGCATCCCGTGGCACTCACCGAAAGAGCATCCCGCGGTGTTTGCCGGCAGAGCTTCCCATGGCATTTGCTGGCAAAGCATCCCATGGGATTTTCCGGCAGAGCTTCCCATGGCTTTCACCGGCAGAGCATCCCAGGGTATTTTCCGGAAGAACATCCCATGGTGTTTGCCAGCAGAGCATCCCGGGGTATTTTTCCATCAGAGCATCCCGTGGCACTCACCGAAAGAGCATCCCGTGGTGTTTGCCAGCGGAGCATCCCATGGCATTTGCTGGGAAGGCATCCCATGGGATTTTCCAGCAGAGCATCCCATGGTATTTTCGGGCAGAGCATCCCACGGCTTTCACCGGCAGAACATCCCATGGTGTTTTCCGGCAGAGCCTCCCATCCTATATCCCAGCAGAGCATCCCGTGGCACCCACCGGCAGAGCATCCCGCGGTGTTTGCCAGCGGAGCATCCCATGGAATTTCCTGGAAGAGCATCCCGGGGTATTTTCCCATCAGAGCATCCCGTGGCATTCACCAAAAGAGCATCCCATGGAGTTTCCTGGGAGAGCATCCCATGGCTTTCACCAGCAGAGCATCCCATGGGATTTTCCAGCAGAGCACCCTCTGGCATTCACGGGCAGAGTATCCCACGGCATTTTCCAGCAGAGCATCCCACCCTACATTCCAGTGGAGCATCCCGTGGAACTCACCGAAAGAGCATCCCGCAGTGTTTGCCAGCAGAACTTCCCATGGCATTTGCTGGCAAAACATCCCATGGGATTTTCCAGCAGAGCATCCCATGGCTTTCACCAGCAGAACATCCCACGGGATTTTCCAGCAGAGCACCCTCTGGCATTCCCCGGCAGAGCATCCCACAGCATTTTCCGGCAGAGCATCCCGTGGCGTTCCCCGGCAGAGCATCCCACACCACGAGCCACCCAGCACCGTGGATCTGAGCCTCCCCGCCTGATCCCGGTGGGATGCAGAGGGGCAGGGCTGGCACCCACCCCGCTGGGGGTGTCGGGGAGCCCCCCGGTGAGGGGGTGAGGGGAGGGGGACGGGACACGCAGCCCCTGCCCCGGGGGGGGAGCGGCGGCCGGGGGCAGGTCTCTCTGGCTGACCTGCAGCTCGGGCGCTCGCCCGGGGCACCGGCGTTAGCACCATGCGCTGGTCTCCAACATAGAGGAAGAATCAGCAAATCTCTGGAGTAGAAAAATAAGGCTGGAACTGTACGAGATTAAAGGGCGGAGGAAAATTCCCCTTCGCCTGGAGAAGAGAAAGCCCCGCTGCGGCACAACCCCGGCGCACCTCAGGACGCTTCCCAGAGCTGGAAGGTAAGTGGGATGAAGGATTTAAAAAAGGAATAAAAGAAAGAAGAAGGCAGCGGTGTCACCAGGCTGGGACACGCTCGGCCACGGAGGGAGAGAAACCCACTCCCCTCCATCTCCCCCCAGTGCTCCCACTGGGACGGGGTGGGGGGTCCCAGGGGTCACAGCAAAGCGGGCACGAGGACAGGACAGGGACAGGAGACCACGACACAGCGGGGGGGGGTGTTAAACCAGCAGAGGACCCCGGGAAAGCAGCCGCAGGACGCAGACGGGGGGGGTTTGCCTGAAGTGTTAAAAACGTGGGGTTTTGTTTTTTTTTTTCCCCCAACTTCGTTTAAAAAGGCAAGTGATCGCGTACTTAAAAAATAAAGCGATGTTGAGACACCTGCAACCCAGGAGTGGAAATGGAGCGTCTCTGCCAAGCACAGCCCGGGAGGGGCTCACACCCCACAGCCGGAGGAAGACCCCCCCCCCCCCCAAAAAACCTGCCCTTCCTCCTGGAAGATGCCAACTTGCCCTCCCTGGCTACCAGCCGGGCTGGCCACGGGCTCCGCTCCTCTCCCTGCCTCCGGCATCGCCCCGTGTCCCAGGAACACCCTCAGCCTCCAAAACGCCACCAGTAAAGCCTCCCAGTGCCCTGCTGGGACCAGTCTAAGCCCAGTGTGGGCTGCGGGGTCTTCTCCCTCCAGCCAGACCCCGACAGAGAGCGGGGAGCGCGGTTCAGCCGCGTCCCCCAACCCCGGGGTGTCCCCTCTCCGGGGACATCCGTGGCAACGGTCCCTGTCCCACCACGGGGTTCCCATCCCGGCGGGAAGTCGGGGCATTTCAAACCCAATCCCAAAGCGTTGGGGGAAAAGGAAAACTCCCAGAATTTCCCATCCGACGTGGGTTGGGTGGGGTTGGGTTTTTTTTTTTCTCCTTTTTCCTCCCCAAACCGACACCGGGCACCGCCTGCACCGGCACCAGCGCGGTGCTGAGGGTAACTGGGAACGTGCTGGTTGGGGAATGGTTTCTCTGCCATCACTGGGAGCCTTCGGCCTCCCCTGAGGAGCTGCCAAGTCCCTGCGGACACAGATGGGGCTTGGTGGCTTGAACCCAGCGCCGGGGACCCGTCCTGTCCCAGCCAGAAGCCCGGTGAGGAGGGGAGACGTGGTGGGACGTCCCTGAGCTCTCATCTTCCTCCCGGGGCAGGGAGAGGCCGGGCTCCATCGCTGCCATCCCAGCGGGAGGAAGGCTCCCTCTGCTTCCCTCCTCTTCCTCGCCGGCTGCTCCCTGCCGGGTTCTCCTCGATCCCAAATCTCACCTCGGCGAAGGAAGTGCTCCCCGTTTAAATCGCATCCCAAGATTTCCAAGGGAAGGGAACGGGGGCTGTTTCTCCTCCAGCCTTTCCCTCCTCTCCCCGAACCGACTGGGTTTAGTGGGACCAATCCCACCGGTCGCTCCCGGCGAGGAAAAGGGAGATGGGAAATGCTGGTAAATCCACCAATCCTAGTGTTTTGGACCCAGACTCTCCAAAAAAGCCAATTTTAAAAGATTTCTCCCGTGATACTGCACAACAGAAAGCCCCTGCCCGACCCCCCCGACCCCCCCTGCCCCCGGTACAGTCCCGTTTGGGAATGAAGGGTTTTTTCCCTTTTTTTTTTTTTTTTTTGTACTAGTTTTTAGTTTTCTACAAAATCTCTCCCCACCCCGGCAGCACTCCTGCCTCCTGCCCTCTCCCCAAACACAGCTAATTCTCCCCACCAGGCGCTAATTGGTAACTAATTGGCTCAGCCCCTCTCAGAGCTTTGTTCCAGGCTTCTCACATCCCATCTGCCAAACGCAATAAAAAGCCCCCGCGGCCTCCGACCCCCCCAGGACCGATTCCCCAGGACCGATTTCCAATATCACTATTAAAAACACTCCCCCCACCCCTCAACTTTGCTTTTTGTTGTTGGTTGTTGTTTGTTTGTTTGTTTTTTTCCCTGTTTTGAAATGTTGACCCCTCTCAGTGCGGCACCTTCCCCGGAGCAGACCCCCTTCCCTCAACCGCTTACAATTATATATATATATATATCTTTTTTTTTGTGTGTGTGTGTGAGAAATTTAAGTTCTATCCGAATCCAACGTTTTAGTGTTTACCCCTCGGCGCGGTTGTGGGTTTTGTCGCTTGGTTTCGGTGGCTGGAGATCGGTGCCCGGCCTGAGAGATGGCACGTGCCGGAGCCGGGAGAGCTATAGGATGATACAGGGCTTTTTGTCCTTAAAGGGATTCTCGGAAGCGGGGACCCCAACCAGCAGCGGGTCGTTCCTGGCATGTTGCTCGCAGTAATTCATTAGCTCGGAAGATGCTTTCGAGACCTAAAAGTTGGGAGAAAGCAGAAGGTGGGTGGGTGCAGAGCTCCGGCGGCCGCTCTCCCGGGGAGAAGGAAAGGAAACAGCTTTTGGGAACAGAAACTTTTGGGAACAGAAACTTTAGCGAGAAACGAGAAGGGGAAACGGAGACGGAAAAGAGGAGGTTTGTGAGGTCTGACATAAGCAAAGCCACGAGTATGGGAGGATATACTCCCAGCTGAGAGCAAGAGATTTAAAAGAAGATATTATTTTAAAGGGCTTTGGGATAAAAAAGAAAGGGAAAAAAAATGCCTGCTTGAGAGCGGCCACCCTCTGATGTTAAAAACGGAGGTTTTGAAACCGTTAGAAGCTATTACTTAAGGCTCTGCTTATTTTAGTTCAAAGATGCCTTCTGGGAACCCAGGGCCTGGAGATCTGGAGATGCAGAGCAGCCCCTTTTTTTTTAAAAAACAAAAAATTAACTTAATAACTGGTTGAACATAAGGCAAACATAAACCACAGAGGCAACCAGACCACATCTGGAAGGGGCAGATGTGACCTGCTGTAGCTGCAGAGTGGTTCCCATCCTGGGGTCCCCAGCCCATCCCTGATTTAGGGGGACAAAAAGCACTTCCCAGCCACCTCCTGCTGCCCTGGAATTGTTGCTCTCATCCCGGCTCTGCCGGGGCTCACCGTGCTCCAACAAGGATGCTGCAGCCCCGGGAAGGAGCAGTTCTCTGTCACCACCCTAAAACCTCCCAGCAACGACCCAGAGTGTGCGGCGCCTGCAACAAAACCCCCGTTCTCTGCAGCTTTGGGCAAAACCCCTGCATCTGCACTTCCACCCCCCAGGGTGGGCTTCCTCCTCCCGCCCTCCTGGAAAGCACAGGAAGGACATGGAGCTGTTGGAGAGGGTGCAGAGGGGTCTATGGAGATGCTGGGGGGGCTGGAGCCCCTCTGCTGGGAGAACAGGCCGAGAGAGTTGGGGGGCTCAGCCTGGAGAAGAGAAGGCTCTGGGGAGACCTCAGAGCCCCTTCCAGTCCCTCAAGGGGCTCCAGGAGAGATGGGGAGGGACTCTGGATAAGGGAGGGGAGCCCTAGGACAAGGGGGAAGGTTTGACCCTGCAAGAGGGGAGATGGAGCTGAGCTGTGGGGAAGAACTTGTTTGGTGTGAGGGTGGTGAGAGCCTGGCCCAGGTTGGCCAGAGAAGCTGTGGCTGCCCCATCCCTGGAGGGGTTCAAGGGCAGGTTGGAGGGGGCTTGGAGCAACCTGGGCTGGTGGGACGTGCCCTGGGCAGTTGGAAGTCGATCATCTTTAAGGTCCCTTCCAACTCTAACCATTCTATGATTCATTTATCTGCAGGAGAACGTGTGTCTCAGCCACCCCAGCGAGCTGGAGGAGCGAGCCCTGGGCTGACACCGCGCTTGGCACCGCGCTTGCCCGAGAGCGGGGTTTGCGGGTCACGGCTTTATGGAAAGCTGGCCCAGACAGCACGTCTTCTCCACTCGGCCGAAATAGCAGCGTGTCGTGGTCCCACCACTGTTGTTCTTTCCCAGCCAAGCATCTAAGAGTCGCAGCTCCGAAGGTCAGTGAGTGTCCACACACCCTGCCACCCCCCGCCGGGACACCGTAATTCTTAGGAGAGTCAGGCCGTGCCGGGGGAAGACCTGTAATTTGTTCTGTCTTCCCTAAAATAGCCTCGCTGAGGGTGCATCACTGGAGTCTGGAAAGCGGTGGCCCTAAAAACAGCTACAAAACCTCAGGGCTCTAAAAAACCCCAAGAAGATACTGAAAGTGGCAGCAGGAGCTCCCGCACAGGGAAACCGGAGATGAAGGAGGAGCCGCCGCTGCAGAAGGGGCAGGGACTGAAAGTCAAGAGAAAACCTTCTTTGACCAGGAAACTAAATTACAAAGTACCCGGTAGATTTCACACCTCCGGGTTTTACCGGATTTCAGTTTCACTCCGCCTTTCACGGGGCTTTCCTTCGTGTGATTTACTGACAAGAGGCTTTCCATGAACAGACTGGGTCTCTCCCCTCCTTCCTCCCCTCCCGGGGGGTTTCTTGGCAGGATGGGGAGCGGAGCAGCCCGAGACCCCCCTTTGCCCACCCCACCGTGCCCACCTCTGGGCTCTACCCACCTTGGTGGGCACGGTGGGGTGGCAGAGCCGGGGGGTGAGCTGGGCTCCTCTGTGGCCCATGGTTTCCTGCCCACGGAGCTGGGACTCGCTGCCCACTCGCTGCCCACTCATCTCCAGCAAAGGCTCAGAGCTCACCAGCCAAACCAGCCCCCAGGACCACAATCCCCCAGCCGGTTCCCAGAAGGGAGTGAAAGCCCCTGGGGGACCCCACCTCCGACTCTCAGGGGACACTAAACTTGCTCCAACCCCCCAAAGTGCCAAAAGCAGCTCTATTTGTGGGGCTCCTCTGCTGCCCCAGCAGATCACTGGTGACCACAGCATGTAGCTGGGAATAGACTCCGGTTTGCTGTCCTGCAGCACAAATTTAACCTAATTCTACCATAAACCTGCCCCAAACCAGTGGGAATGCCATCCACCCCCTCACTTGCAAAGTGTCCCCATCCCTTTTCAGTCGCAAGGACGCAGCGGCTGAGAAATGGCCGTGCAGGCAGCGGCTTTCGGAGGGAAATTGTGTAGGGACAGTGACCCATCCTAAAAAAAACGGGGCACTGAGACTGGAGTGTGCTTGTGAGAGTGCCCAGCAGAGCTTTGCCGGGTCTGTCCCTGCAGCTTCGGGGTCCTCACAGGTTGTATGAGCACAGCTGAGCTCCAGGGTCTGTCCTCGGATGGTGCCATCACCCCAACACCTGGGAGAAGCCGCCCAGGTGAGCCCTTACGGTGTGAGCAGTGCCCGTAGGAAGGGCTCTCGTGGAGAAAATCTGAGCTGGAGACACCACAGCAGCACAGAGGTGCTCGGGAAAAGCCCTGGGACCCTCCCTGCTCCATCCCTGTCCCCCCCGGGACGTGGCCCATCTCGTGCTGCTCCATCTCCTGGGCTCACCTTGATCCTCTCGATGCCGGCTTCGATGCGGAGCTGCTCCACCAGCTTCCGGGCCTGCGCTATGTTGTTAGTTGTTGACATTGTTGGCCATCGGCTCCGGGCCCCAGCAAGAGAGAATCCTGCAAAACAAGGAAGGGGGGGTTGGGGAGAGGAAAAAGGGGGGGTTGGCATCAAGCACGAAGCCGCGGTGCCGGCGGGCACCACCTCGGCAAGCGCCGTGTCCTCACCCACAGCCACGTGCGAAGGGTTTCCACGAACCCTAAACTGATGACACCGACTTCAGGCTTCCTGATTTTGCTTCAAGTTCTCCTTTCCCCTAAACAGCCCTCCCCGGGGCACGCTCTGCAAGGTCTTCTCTTTTGATTAAAAAAAAAAAAAAAAAAAAAAAAAAGAAAACCTAAACAGAAACTTGCCGACAAAAGGGGAAAAATGAAACTTTTTCTGCAGGAAGCCCTGCCCGGCGCGTTCGAGTGACCGACTGGAAAAGGGAACAGAAGTTCTCTCCTCTGCACAGACTCCCCCCTACGCTATTTATCCATCATTTTGCAAACCCATGTCCCTGAAAAAAGCAAGAGTAAGAAAATAAGAGCCACAGATGGTCCCGGGTTGGGTGGGAAGGGGCAAGTCAGGACTCAGGTGAGGGGCAGAGGTTTCTTGGATGCCAAAGGAGGGGACAGGCAGTGAGACTTGGGCACAAGGGGGGGTACCAAAGCACGAGAGGCACCGAAAACTCATGTCTCAAATGAATATTCCACCAAAGAAGGGTCCAGCTGAACATGGAAAGGAGGAGAGAACCAGCGGGTGAGCAGGAGTGGGGCAGGACCAGAGCTTTGCCCAAGCACAACCCCTTTCTGTGCACCAACCATCGGGTCTCCGAGGGGCTCGGGGACTGTGCCCATGCCCGGCTGTGCCCATCATGGGGCTTTAACAGACCTGTCACCCGGCCGGGGGCAACCTGCCCCGTGTCCCTGCCACTGCCATGCAGGGAGAGTGCGGGTTCAACAACCTCCCTCCAAATTTAAAGGCAGCAACTGCAAAAGTTTGTCTGTGAGACCCACACAATCCATCACTGTCCCCGGGGGACGTGGAGGGCAGCTCCGGCCACGCCGTCTGAGCCTGCCTTGGCCAGACACCCAGCTCAGGTCGTTTCTTGATGAGCGTTAACGCGGGGGTGAGGCGGAGGTGTCAGGAAAAGTCATTTCCCTGCCCTGCCCGGCGGTGACTCAGCCCCGGAGCCTTCCCTAACGGCGGGGGAACACGGGGAGAGGGCTCCGGGGAGCGTCGTCTCCCACCTCCCCCAGCAGGAGACACGGCCAGATGATGCTGGGAGGGAGGAAAGAGCCAAAGCAAACACGGGGCCGGGTCCCAGCGGCGCTCCCGGCGCCCCAGCCGCCCGCCCACCGCAGCCCTTTCTGGCCTAACTTTAATTACAGACTCCTCCAGTCTTCTCCCCAGCACCGGCAGCTTCAAAGCAGATGCTGAACCTTTACTTGGGGGTGGGGGAAAAAGGGAGGAGAGCGTCTGCCCCATCTAAAATTCCTGCAGACTCGAGCTGTCTCGCCTGCGTTTAGACATTAAGGGAGTTTATTCCAGACCGCAAGGGCACTCGGGGGGATTATTCAGCTTGGCAGCAGCAGGCAACACACACCAAACTTTTCAATCCCTGCACGGCACCGGGCTCCCTTGGAACACTGGAGGCTGCAGGAGAAAACAAGCTGTGCTCCAGTCCCTGCACAGCACCATTCCCCAAAACAGCAGGATGAGTGGGAAATCTCCGCCTTCCCAAGTCCTGGAAGACATTACTTGGGACAACACGGGAAGCCACGCTGCTGAAATAGAGCCTGGTGCCGGGGAAACGGGGAGAAGGAAGCAGGGTGGTCCCCAAGGGACGGATCCTCCTCTCCTGCCCCCCGTTTCCTAAGCCAGGAAAGCAGGACGTGCTCCTGCTGGCAATGCTGGGGTCACCCCTGAGCCAGGACTTGGGTGAGATGTGGCTTTAACCAAAGGGTCCAGAGTCCTGTAACGAGCTGGGGGAGCCCCCCAAAAAGCCCCACATCAGAGTGCAAACCACATGCAAGGAGCCACCTCTCCTGGCAGGGCACTGGGGATGCTCTGCTCTTCTCTCCATGAAAAAGCAGCAGCTCCAGCTGGGAAGGCTTTATCTCCAGAGACAGCTCATTCCTTCAGCATCAACTGCTCTACAGACCCCAGCCCTGCGAGCAATTTGGGATCTCAGAGCCGCAGTTTGTGCTCAACCCTGCGAGGGCTGAGCAGGACTCCAGCTGCACGAGCGCTACCGTCAATTTTTATGCCATTAATCCTGCAAAAAAGCAGGAAAATTCGGCCGTTGGGGCAGTTGGCACACACACGGCTATTTGTGGCCACCTTCTGACCACCTGCATTTCCAAAGACATCCCCTCTAACAGCACAGACCCCCCCCAGCAACCAGCTCCCTCCTCACTGACCAAACAACCCTTTCCCTGGGTAAGGAGTTAGCAGACAGCCAGGGGAAAAGAAAAAGCCAGGCCATTGGAGCTGATCTCTGTTTGCAGCAGCCCAGGATCACCTGCGTGTACTTTCCCAGCTTCCTGTTTAGGGAAGGAGGAGGATGAATCACTCCGGGGGTGTTACTTAAGGGAACTTAAGGAACAGCCCGTGTCCCCGTTCCCGCAGCACCTCGTGGCACGGGGACACCAGCCTGGCTGGAGGAAGGACGGGGTTTTATTAAGTGGGGGATGGAGAAAGTCCTGCAGGAATTGTCAAACTAGTGTCTTAAAGTCCTTGGCGTGATGTGGGGGAGGCTTTTTACTCCCTGCTCTCCCCGTAGCCTGGTTTTATGGAGTCTTTGCAAAGCGAAAGCAGCGCTGGTCAATCAGAAATGATGCTTTTCTCGGGTCATTACGGGTCATTACCCGCCCCGGCGCTGGTGACTGCTCTCCAGCTCATCACCACCATCCGCCACCCGCCGCGGGGCCAGCGGTCTCACAGCAACAACATCTGCAGCAGCAGCTTCCAGTGTCTCCTCAGCCACTGTCACCCCATGGCGATGGCACCGGAGTCCCTCGGGGGAACCGGACGAGCGTCTCCCCCAACGTTGTGCCGATGGCACAGTCCCTCTGATGGAGTTTTAGATTTCCAAGGAGACATTTCAGCAGCAGAGCTCTGAGGAAGGTCAAGGGGAGCTTCATAGAATCACAGGCTGGTTTGGGTGGGAAGGGACCTTGAAGATCATCCCATTCCACCCCCTGCCCTGGCAGGGACACCTCCCACCACACCAGGTTGCTCCAAGCCCCCTCCAACCTGCCCTTGAACCCCCCCAGGGATGGGGCAGCCACAGCTTCTCAGGGCAACCTGGGCCAGGCTCTCACCACCCTCCCACCAAACAAGTTCTTCCCCACATCTCAGCTCCATCTCCCCTCTTTCGGGGTCAAACCATTCCCCCTCCTCCTATGGCTCCCCCCTCCCTGATCCAGAGTCCCCCCTCCAGCTTTCCTGGAGCCCCTTGAGGGACTGGAAGAGGCTCTAAGGTGAGAATTTCTTCCTGAGATCTCATCTAAATCTCCCCTCTTCCAGTTTGAAGCCATTACCCCTCGTCCCATCAACATGCCCTTCTAAAAAGTCCTTCTCCAGCTTTTCTATAGGTTTCACTGGGTGCAAAATCTTTCTCCAGCTGCAGACCCCACCAGATGCTCATCCTGGGCATCCCGATGGCTCCCGGTCTGGACCTGCCGAGCACAGGCTGGGCCAGCACCGGCACCGCAGCCACATGGTCCTCAGCTCCGTGGAGCCACAGTGGGACCCACATCATTCCCGAGGCTGGAGTGGGTCAGGACACCCGGCCACAACCACCGGCCACGCTCCGGGACCGCTCTGCCTGGCGGGAATTTAAAACCAGCTTCTGTTCCCTTGGTGAATAATTAACGGAGCGCGTCATTAGCAACTGCAGACCATGGACACAGAAGGTCCAGCCGGTCGCTGCCGTGGCACACGAAGGGCGTCCTCGGGATTTTTTTGATAAAAGCCAAACCGAACTTTAAAGATGTCATCCAGCAGAGTTACAGGGGTGTGTAAATAACTCGTGAGGCAAAGGCATTTGGAAAAACGCCACGCAGCAGCACGCGGAGTGAAGTATGTGTGATGGTGATGCAAGCCGGGGTGACACGTGGGACACGGCTACGTCGTCCCTCTTCCCAGCTGGATGTTTTAAAGAAATCAATATTTGGAAAAGGATGACGTGTGCAGCTGGGCCAGGGGAGGAAGAAGGGGACAGGGAGGGCTCCTCCTGCCTCCGCTCCGTCATCTGATGGTGGAGAAATGACCCGTGGAGCCAGGATCCCTTCCCGCAGGGCGGGCACAGCCTCGGTGCCCGGCACCGGCCGCCTCCTCCCAGCCCTTCCTGGCACCCGGCTGGGTCCGACTCCTCCTTTCCCAGTCTTTACTGGTGACTCTGGAGCAGGACGCTGCCGCTCGCCTCTCGCTGAGTCACGAATGGACACGGTTCAGCAGGAAATGAACCTTCCCCCACGCCTTCGCCAGAGTCTGCCCTCCCGGAGGATCCATCTCCCGCTCCTCCCCGGCAGCGTTCCTGGGAAGGGCCGCGCCGCCCGGGGAGCACAGCCCTCGTGTCGGGAATCGACTCCTGTTGCGTGAGCGTGGCCTTTGCTCGGCGTGAGGTTTTATTATCACGCCGTCCCCGTCAGCAATTCCGGGAGGGTTGAAATCATCCGACAGTCTCTTGCGAGGCTCCGGGCTGCCGGCCCCGACGAGAGTTCGCTTCCAAGGATGTAGAACAAGCGTCTGCAAAACACTGCTGCTGCGAGTCCAACACCCACAATTACTAAAAATTTAGAGGACACAAGAGCACAGGCTGTGATCTATTATCTGAGAGGGTTTTGAGGTCAAAGCCAAGGAAAGCGGTGGCGATGGCGGGTTGTGCAACCCTGCAGGGGGTGGGTTGGGAGCCGGGGGAACGGAGCAAACAAGTCCCGGGTTACGGTTTGGCTGCGGCACAAGCATCCCCTGAGCATTCCTGCCTGTTTTAGGAAAAGCCCCGGAGGAGAACGTCCCACCAGTTAAGTCAGGACACATTTTGGAATGCTCAGGATCTGTTGTTTTGAAC